CCTATCACGTAGAGAATGTACGGATATCAACAGATAATTCAACTACACAGTTCCATGGAATTTGCCCAAGTCACAATTCCTACAGTGCACGCCCACACGCCTGTCACCTAGCATGTGCGTCACCTCAAAACCAATCACATAACACATAATCCAGGGTTTCATACCCTTAGGACCAAATTTAAAACTGTTACTTACCTCAAAATGTGAAATTCTTTACTCTGATATTGCCTCGAATCTAGACGTGACTCTGAATGCCACGTCTCGGAGTCTGACGAAACTCACAAAATCCGACAACGCATTCAATTACGAGTTCAATCATGCTAATTTCACTCAAATCCAACTCTGAATCGGTGTTCAAATCCCAAAAATTTGTTTTATAAAATTTCTATAATTTTTTCCAAATTTCCATCTCAAAATACTGATTACATGATGAAAATAATGATATATTCATTTATGTTAACCAAATCTGAGTTAGAATCACGTACTCCGATGAATTTCTTGAAAAACCCATGAAACATCGTCTTAAACCGAGCTCCCAAGGTACAATAATGAAATAATAACCTAAGCCTCGATTATATAGTACATTCTCTGAACTCACCATGTGGAGTCCGCTCAATTCCAAGTGTGGCCGCACATACCAGCTCATGCGGTCGCACAAATATTGTGCGGCCGCACTCTATTGGTGACTGCACTTCCAGGCTTTAGTATTTTGGCCATACCTTTCTCAACAGATTTTCAAATGATGACTTCTTTACCTTTCTGGAAACTAGACACGAAAGGTTACAACTTTCATTTTTGAATCATCTCAAAATTACTTGTAGATCAAAAGTTATAAGCTTACGAAGTCGGACCGGCGAATCTGCAGAACTCCCTGGAGTGCGTCCGCAGACAGAATTATGAGGTCCGCACTCCTCCTCTGAGGTCCGCATTTTTCTGCTGCGGTCTGCACTCTTATGTGCGGTCTGCACCTTTCCTTCGCCTCAGCACCTCAAAATATGCGGTCTGAACCCCCAAAAAGTGCCAGAAAAGTATCAGAGTATCGAAATGTCCGGACTCGCTCAAAACTCACCCCGAAACTCATCCGGAACCTCCCGGACACAAACCATATATGAATTTCAATCATAAAATACTCTACGGACCTGCTCGCGCACTCAAAACACTGAAAAGCGTTTGTTTGACATGATATTGACCTTGGCCAAACGCCCAAATTTCTTAACTTTACTAATCTCTCAACCAATGATCCAAAAATACACCCAAGCCCCTCGGGACCTCAACCAAATATACCAACACGTTCCATAACATAACACAGACCTACTCAATGCCTCAAATCACATCAAATAACAACGTTAAATTGCACCTCAAATCAAAATCTATGAAATTTAAACTTTTAATTTCTATATCTTGTGCCGAAACACATCAAATCAATCCGGAATAATTTTAAATTTTGCACACAAGTCATAAATTACATAACGAAGCTATTCAAATTTCCAGAATTGGATTCCGACCCCGATATCAAAAAGTCAACTCCCCGGTCAAATTTCCAAACTTAACTTTCTATTTTAGCCATTTCAAGCTAAATTCTACTACGGACTTTCAAATAATTTTTCGGACATGCTCCTAAGTCCAAAATCACCATACGGAGCTATTGGAATCATCAAAACTCTATTCTGGGATCGTTTATACATAAGTCAATATCCGGTCAACTATTTCAACTTAAGCTTCCAACATGAAATTCATTCTTCTAAGCTAACTCTGAAATACCTTAAAACTAAAACCGACAATTCACACAAGTCATAATACCTCGTAGGAAATTATCCAAAACTTCAAATAGTTTAAAGAAGCGTAAATGCTCAAAATGACCGTTCGGGTCGTTACAATACCTAAGGAAGTGGCTTTTTTCGTTCGACCCCACGATCTATAGCCACATTACCAATATCGCTAAGCGCTTTCCTATTTCTCCCTTCTGCTGCCATATTCTTTTTCTACGTTACTGCCCCAGGGACTGCCTCACCTGAACAATATAAAAGTCTATCTATATTAGCAGTATCAAATAAAATACAATTAACATTCAATACATAGTATAATATTTATAGAATTGATTATGTAATATCATATACTGAACCATCTTTCATCAATATTTCAAGAGGTTCACCCAATAAAGATGGATGGTGCACAAAGTGTATCGACTTAGTATCAAACAAAATACCACAAACATTCAATAATATTTAGAGAATAATTATATGTAACATCATTTGGCATGATAGATGGTTCACCCTATAAGAAATGTTTATGTCCCTGAAAGTTTACTGAGAGACCTATCCAAAAACTAATAGGCCACCGCTTCTTTCATCAGTTTAATTTTAACACAACTATTTTATTTTTTTGTTAAAAGGTAAAGAAACAACATATAATGATTGAATGTGCATCATTTACGAAAAACTATACCACAAACAGCCAAATAGGTCGATTGGTTCACATAGGTATCCAACCAACAGAGAAAGTATGGAAGAAAATCAAATACTGAAGACTGTAAGAGCTGAAATTAATAAGTAAACATATTATAATTTATGTAGTTCCTGAATGACATACCATTGCTATAAATTTGGTGTAAAAAAAGACTGTAATACTTCTTCAGGCTATCATGGTGCACTTCCAGATCAGAAAATTTCATCTACATATCTTTAGACAGCAGGTTTTAGAAATGGTCCAAGCGCCAAAGTTCTTTAAATGAGCGTTAATATTCTCCAGTGATTGGTGCTTTCCTACTAATGAGGCAGTCCCTTGACTCTTCGCTTCACCTTTTAGAATGCTCAACGAAGGAGGCATTAAATATTCTATAAAATCATTGGGGCAAAGTAGGCGAAAAGAGGTCATTACAAATTTTCTTTAGAATTCGCAAAATAATAAACAAAAACATATTTAATGTTCCATCTCTAATAAATGGTTTAATACAAAAATAAATTGCATCAATTCTCGAATATAGAACCAATGTAACAGAGAAAATGGGCAAAATATAACCAACAATGACAAGCCCTACAAAGAATTACATTAAGTAAAAGACAGTGTTTGAAGGAATTAGTAATACAATAATTCTAGATTAATTAATACAAATCTTTATATTACTATACTTGAATACTTGAATTTATACTAACATTAATTTGTAGTAATATTATTTTTTAATGTTAGAGTTGAAAGAATTAGTAAGTGGAAGAAACAACTCCAGATTTAAAACTTAATCACACCAAAAACAGAGAACGTATAACGAATTAGCAACACACAAAAAAATCAAAGTAACTAATACTAATTTATATTATAGAAGCTATTGAGCTTTGTGGCTGCGTCGTCGACAAAGCAAACATACCTTCATAAACAAATATCAAACATAGCAGCATCAGTTAGTAGGAGAGAAATAATATGCTTATAATATACCAAATCATCTATGATAACATGGTTCAGTGAACTTACAATGAAAACGACTGAATAGCTTATATCAAGAATTTCCGCTTGATGTGCACAAAGGAGAAAGATTTAGTGATTGTTAAAGTAGAACTTGATTTCAAAAGGCATTGAAATCATGTTACTAAGAATACCCTAGAAGAATTGGTGGGTTAGGAGTTAGAAATCGTGGCGTGGGATCGTGGGATCGTGGGATTGAAGCGCCATCGTGGGAATGGAAGTCGAAATTGTAGGAATTGATATATTTTAGGTCAAAGGCGTAGAGGAGTTATGTGGGTTTCAGAATTTTAATTTGAAAATTATTATTTTCTTAAAAAAACATAGATATTTTATTATTTTGAAATTCAAATTTTAAAAATAAACTAATTTTACCTAACAACTAAATATTTTCTTAAAATTGCCACATGGCATTTTTGTAATGTGATACTTGGCAAATTCTCATGGCTGACTTCCTTCCTATTAATAATAGATAGATATAGATTTATCTAGTAAAACTTTAATTTTATGGTCATATCCATAGTTTAAGCATTTTTATCATAATTTTAATCTAATCTCAAGTTGAAATCATCTTTCCGTTCTATTTCTAATATTAAATATTTTTAAATTTTTGATTATTGCTATTAAGTTGCCTAATATATAATATTTCATATTTTCATGTGGCCTTTATTAACTTTCGTCTTATTTAATATCATTATCCAGTTATATCCCTTAATATAATATAGATCAATGTGTGATTTTTTAATCTTGATATAAATATTTACATTATTTTAATTTAATACTCGAAATTATTAAACTGTTTAAATTTATTAATAATATTTTTAAGTATTATATAGTAAAATTTTCAATATTTTAATTTTATTATTTAATTAATTAATTAAGAAATAAGTTATATGTGGCTTTTTCTGGTTTTGCCATATGGCTGAATTAGCTATTAGTTAATAATTAATTAATTAATAACATTACATATGACTAATTTTAAAGTTGCTACTTGGCTTAAGGAGAAGAATTATTCCTCTCATTTTAATAATATATAGATATATATANTTTAGTTGTATTTGACAGGAGTAGAACAAAGTTAAAGTAAATAAATTCCGAATTTGAAAAAGGAAGTTAATTAACTTGAGTCCCAAGTGTAACCAAAATGAAAAGAAAGAAAAAAGCTTCCCGCCAAAAGAAACACGTCTGTTCTTCCCTAATACCCAGTTTTGTACCAACAAATAATACTTTCCTTATTTTCCTAAAATATTAGTCCTCCGCGTGCAATTTTTTAAGAAACCTAATAAGTTCTTTATAAAGAACCTGAACATTAGCTATCGGCTATCGCCATTGTATTTGTTCAGGTTCTTCCTAATTTCATAGGAGTAATTCTTTCTTCTCTATCTGTTTTCATTGCGAATTTAAATTTTTCTTTCACAATACTCCAATTCTTAGTTCTCTTTGTATTTTCACAGAAGAGTCAAGAACAATTGCAGATTATCGATCATTGAAGGGTTGTTTTTTTCTTGCGATTCTTGTTATAATTTCTTTATTCATAATAGCAAATCAAAGACCAGCATGCCGATAGTATCACGGCTTCCTAGTGTTCGATTTTACCCAACTGATGCGGAGTTGATCTACTTTCTGAGAAAGTTCTTAAAGGGTAACTCTTTTCCCAGTGAATGCCCTATTCGACTTGCAGAAATCTATGGAGACCGGCCACCCTGGGAGATTTCTGATCATCCCGAAGAGAAAATTGGTTACTTTATTTCTCCTTTGAAGAAGCGGAAGGAATCAGACAAAAGGTTTCGCCGAACTTGCGCCAACGGGACATGGAAAGGCCAAACCAGTGGCGATCCTATCAAGAATGGTAAGGGCACTGTGGTGGGATTCAGAAAAAATTTTGTTTATCGAACTAGGGGTAGTAAACAATCAAAGCAAGATAAGATTAATTGGCTGATGAGAGAATATTACGTGGGGGATGATTACTTCAGGGAAAACAATATTCCTAAGCAAGATATTGTTCTTTGCCGAATCAAGAAGAATATTATAACAGAGAGAAATATGAAGAATGGGGTAACTATAGAGGAACAAGAAGTTGCTCAAGTAATAGCAGCTATGTTGTGTGAACCTGACTACAACAGTACACAGTCAGCAACAATTTGCCAACAACATCAGGATAATTATTTGAGAGGACTTAACAAAAATAGCCAAATTTTGACCACTTATGATACAGATGAAGCTACATTGGAGAATCATGGAGCCATCACCAACAGAGAGTACATGATGACAGAAGAAGCAAATACAACAGCCTGCGGGCAAGAAGAAGCATATGATCAATTATCCTTCCCTGGAATTCAGGAGCAATATTATGCTGAAGCTGATCTTAACGCAGATAACAGTGACTTCTCAGATCTTAACATAGATAACAGTGACTACTTGGAAGAACTAATGAATGGAATAGACGACATTGTTCCACATGATTGGTGGCACCAATTCTACTAGATAGACATGAAAAGAGTTAACATCTGATGTTTGTTAGAATTTTTTTGCCCAACTCAATATTATGTAAACAAGATGCATCATACTGCGATTATTCTTTTTTCTTTCTGGGTAGCCGAAATTATTCTTTAATGTGATTTCTTGTTTATATATTTTTTTTAAAATGAGTCCAGAAACTCTTTGGTATATATCATTAGTGCATGTTTTATGGCAAACGCAAAACTCATTAAAATGAATAACACACCTTTGAATCATCTTTTTTCTCTCGTAAATTTCCTATAAAAGACTACACTCATCAATCAATTTGAGCTAATTAAGAAACAAGATATACTGGAAGGAAAAGGATGCTAAGAGGATACCATATGCAATATAACACTGTCTAATTAAGAACTCAAAAGGAAAAACAGAGAGAGCCAGAGATCTGTGGGCAAGAAAAACTTATTTGCCTTCAGGATGGCAAGATGCTGGATTAAATCAGTCAGTCATACAATATTCTGATTTAGATGTAGGCTCATCAGCAAAGAAACATTCAGTTTTTCGCGATACGTTTTTTAATTACTCCATCATTAGTAATTCAATGTTATAATGCTGACCATTCAAAATTTAACGTAAAAAATTACTGAAAATATGCCCTTGCACAAAATAAATAATGCAACAAAGGTAGCTGTTGTCACTACACATCAATCCAATATATACATTAACTTTTCATCAGATTGGCGCCAAGCACTGTGTACCCATTCACAAGACTCAAAAGTTGTGATTTCCCAAAAAGCTCCTTTTTAAGGGGCGAGATACCTGAGGAAGTGGTTTTTTTCCTTCGACCCCACGATCTGTAGCCACATTACCAATATCGCCAAGCGCTTTCCTATTTCTCCCTTCTGCTGCCATATTCTTTTTCTGCGTTACTTCCCCAGGGACTGCCTCACCTGAACAATATAAAAGTCTATCTATATTAGCAGTATCAAACAAAATACCATTAACATTCAATACATAGTATAATATTTATAGAATTGATTATGTAATATCATATACTGAACCATCTTTCATCAACATTTCAAGAGGTTCACCCAATAAAGATGGATGGTGCACAAAGTGTATCTACTTAGTATCAAACAAAATACCACAAACATTCAAGAATATTTAGAGAATGATTATATGTAACATCATTTGGCATGATAGATGGTTCACCCTATAAGAAATGTTTATGTCCCTGAAAGTTTACTGAGAGACCTATCCATAAACCAATAGGCCACAGCTTCTTTCATCAGCTTAATTTTAACACAACCATTCTATTTTTTTGTTAAAAGGTAAAGAAACAACATATAATAATTGAATGTGCATCATTTACTGAAAAACTATATCACAAACAGCCAAATAGGTCGATTGGTTCACATAGGTATCCAACCTACAGAGAAAGTATGGAAGGAAATCAAATACTGAAGACTATAAGAGCTGAAATTAATAAGTAAACATATTATAATTATGTAGTTCCTGAATGACTTACCATTGCTATAAATTGGGTGTAAAAAAAGACTGTAATACTTCTTCAGGCTATCATGGTGCACTTCCAAATCAGGGAATTTCATCTACATACCTTTAGACAACAGGTTTTAGAAAGGGTCCAAGTGCCAAAGTTCTTTAAATGAGCATTAATTCTCCAGTGATTGGTGCTTTCCCGCTAATGAGGCAGTCCCCTGACTCTTCGCTTCACCTTTTAGAATGCTCAGCGAAGGAGGCATTAAATGTTCTATAAAATCATTGGGGCAAAGTAGGCGAAAAGAGGGCATTACAAATTTTCTTTAGAATTCGCAAAATAATAAACAAAAACATGCTTATAATGTTCCATCTCTAATAAATGGTTTAATACAAAAATAAATTGCATCAATTCTCGAATATAGAACCAATGTAACAGAGAAAAGGGGCAAAATATAACCAACAATGGCAAGCCCTACAAAGAATTATATTAAGTAAAAGAAAGTGTTTGAAGGAACTAGTAATACAATAATTCTAGATTAACTAATACAAATCTTTATATTACTATACTTGAATACTTGAATTCATACTAACATTAATTTATAGTAATATTACTTTTTAATGGTAGAGTTGAAAGAATTAGTAAGTGAAAGAAACAACTCCAGATTTAAAACTTAATCACATAAAAAACAGAGAAGGTATAACGAATTAGCAACACAAAAAAACCAAAGTAACTAATACTAATCTATCTATGATAACATGGTTCAGTGAACTTACAATGAAAAAGACTGAATAGCTTATATCAAGAATTCCTGCGGAGAAAGATTTAGTGATTGTTAAAGTAGAACTTGAATTCAAAAGACATTGAAATCATGTTACTGAGAATACCCCCAGAAGAATTGATGGGTTAGGAGTTAGAAATCGCGGTGTGGGATCGTGGGAATGAAGCGCCATCGTGGGAATGTAAGCCGAAATTGTTGGAATTGATATATTTTAGGTCAAAGGCGTAGAGGAGTTACATGGGTTTCAGAATTTTAATTTGAAAATTATTATTTCCTTAAAAAAAATATAGATATTTTATTATTTTGAAATTCAAATTTTAAAAATAAACTAATTTTACCTAACAACTAAATATTGTCTTAAAATTATCTCGTAGATAAGTACAGACGTCTCTGTAGAGATCTGCAAGACTCTATTAAATTTGTTCATGACTCATGAGACCTACGCAACCTAGTGCTCGATACCAACTTGTCACGTTACGAACTCCCATCGGAGCCGCGGCGATGCCTAACTCTACTTACTAATCAAGCCAACAACTATACAATTGTCTTAAAATTGTCACATGGCATTTTCATAATGTGACACTTCGCAAAATTCTCGTGGCTGACTTCCTTCCCATTAATAATAGATAGATAGATGGCTGACATCCTTCCTATTAATAATAGATAGATAGAAGATTGGCGAATTCTATAACTTTTGAGGATGAAAGGGTAACTTGTAGTATCTTTGGGTGCCAAATTTCAAAGTTAACTCATTCTTAAACCGCTCCTCCCATGTTCCCTCCTCATGCCATTGCGATTCTTTCTATAGGCGAAGATCTCAGTGAATCAGCCTTCAATCTACAAAGGTCATTTTTCTAATACATTTCATCTTTTTATTTTGGATATTTTGAATAGTAGTATATTTTTGTATACCCAGTTGGGAAATGCTTGGATTATTGTGTTTTCTTGTTTGTCTTTCAATTTAGTTTTGTTACTATTTAGTTTAATTATGGTATGTTTTTGTGAGTCTTAACGAAATGTGGATTCTGTTGTGTTTTTTTCTTGTTCTCTGAATCGGGTTCTGTGGGTCTGCTATAGAATTCAAGAATTAATACGTAATATGATAATTGATTGATATAAAAAGGATCATAAATTGTGCCATTAATTAATTAATTAGGATGGTACTTTGAAATGATTCGGAGTCACACTCCTTTTTGATGGGTGTATCATTGTTGCTACCAGTCTGAATTTCATTTGCAAGTAACTTCAAGGAATGTGTTTTTAGAAAGAAGTCATGAATTGATGTGCTATATGCTAGATGAGCAAATTCGTAGGGTTTTGTGAGGAAAGGAGTGGCTGGAAGAGGTAAAGTAATAGAAACAAAATGGAAATTTCTTTTTCTCTAAATTGCTTTCCTTTGGCATATAAATTCTAGTTTAGTTTTGATAGCCTACTGTAGAATAGAACCTGAAACCTCAATACTGCCACATGATGTTTGGGGAATTGCACAAGGGCTTTGAGTTAATTTATTGAAATGGAACTTTGAAATGATTACCTAGTTCATCCCTCTCAATAACAATAACATACCAAGTGTAATCCCACAAGTGGGGTCCGGAGAGGGTAGTGTGTACGCAGACCTAACCCCTACCTTGTGTTGGTGGAGAGGTTGTTTCTAATATATCCTTGGCTCAAGAAAGCAAAATAATAATAGAAGATGACATGTAAAGAGAAGCAGTAATAACAACAAGATAATAAGAAATCCAAAGCAGAAGGAACATCAAGTAGTAATAAAAATCTAAACAGAGGAAATACGAGATTGATAATAGTACTACTGATATGGAAAGGCAATATGCTCGAGTACCTACTACCCTTCAACTCTAATTTTCAACCTCCACACCCTCATGTCCAACTTCATGTCCTCGGTTAGCTGAAAATGCGTCATGTGCTGCCTAATCATCTCTCCCTAATATTTCTTAGGCGTACCTCTATCCCTCCTAGGGCCTCCAATGGCCAACTTCTCACACCTCCTCACAGGGGCATCCATGTCTCTCCTCTTCACGTGCCCGAAACATCTCAAGCTTACTTCCTGTATTTTGTCCACCACAGAGGCCATTCCCACTTTATCCCTCCGGATAGCAGTTGTTGCTAATCTTTTGATTCTGTGTATGAAGTGATTAACATCTGCAGAAGAGAGCGATAGCAGTCACCCTCTTTCTCCTCCCAATTTCAAGTCTGTTCCGTGGGAAATAGCCAGAATTGGAACTAATCCTTCTTTTTGACCCTTTCTGACTTCCACACGCCATTGCCTATAGTGTTTGGTTCATTAACTTCTGAGTATTGGTTAGTTTCCCACCTTTGTATTCTTTCCTTTAAGGTTGAGAGCATATCCATATCTTTAGTTTTCTAACGCCTTGTTTTTATGTGAAGAATGCAGTTTTCGAGGTAAGTTGTTTAGATAATGAACAGTGGATGTTTATAATTAGGGGGCATAGTTATGATGAAGACCACTGCAAGTGTTTGGATACGAATCGTGATTGCGTATCCAAGCTTTTGACACACAACAGAGGTTGGCTAGTAACTAGCTCCCTTTAGTATTTTCTTTCGGGGGAAGGTTCAATACTATCAAGGGAATATATGTGTATGCGTGTGTATAATATATAGCACCCAAGAATATGGTCTAGCGGTTAATAAAGTGGATGAAAATTATGGGAGACTAGAGTTCAACTCTCGGTATTGGCAAAAAAAGGGAATAGTCGAGGTGCGCGCAACGGACACCACCATTTCAAGAAGTGAAATATTAAATTGGTAGTCGCTTGATCTTTTCTCCCCATTTCACTGTCTCTGTATCTCTACTCCCTCAAAGATCACCTATGTCCTGCCTGTACTCCACTAGTTTTCTTTTAATGGGTGCAGCGCGTACGTTGTTATCATTATAGTGATGTGATGCTTTGATGGTGCAGCATATATGTCGCTGTCGTGATGTTGAAGTTTGCACAAGACCTGCCTTGGATGGAGAGTGCCTTTGCTTATTGAAATTTAATATTTTTTTATGGTTTATGGAAAATTAAGATTTTAGTTTTCTTGGTTGTCGCTAAATAGGGGTTCAAAGCATATTTGATCTTGTTTCTTGAATTGATATAGATATTTCTCTGGATATCAAAAGTAAAGAAGAACTGCACAAGTGCTCCCTGCAGCTTAAGATTATTTCATTATCGGTGTGAGAATTCATTATTTGTTTGACACTACATATTTTGAGTCAATTATTTACTAGTAGTAACTCGTAGAGAAGTGACACAATTTAATATAGTATTGTTTACCTGTTTGGTTTTCCTCCATAGTAGTATTTTATATCCACAATGTTCAAATAGGCAGCCACATGGAGTTGGATTTCATGGGCTTCGAGCTTGTTCGGCTTGATTTGGCAATGCGACTATGTAATCATTCTCTAATACACTCCATCGATGGAAGTAGTCAGTAACATTTAGCACCTTTTACTGGTAGGACCTCTGTTTTCTCGTTCTCTTTGGTGTACTGAAAAAGAAATGACATTCCTAATTGAAGCTAATGCAAACAAATGTGTGTTCATAGTTTTATATATCCGTGTGCTTATGTATTCCCTTTCTCCCAGTTTAGATGTCCTAAGGGATCACTTGTTTCACATGTTAGCTATGCTAGAATTAAAAAGCAAGATTGTTTATGTTGTGAATAATAACGAAGGGATAGTTATAAAATATTACATAGATTCCCACATAATTTAATGCATGTATTGTTTAATATCGTCAACACCCGCTGGATCAGGTTATGCGGGGATTATATTTTCTTATATGGCCTACCAAACACTGCATTGCTATCTTGATTGTGAAAAAGAGATTCAACAGCTAGAAACTGAAATATATTATTTGTAGTATCTGTTTGTTGTTGTTCAGAAAAGGAAAAAGGTAATGTGTTGGGTGAAACCCCCCCAAAACAGCAACTTCTAGTGGTCCATTGTTTACCATACTAACAAAAGCTTCCATCAAAATGTTGGCGGTGTTAGACGAACCCACAGGAAGATTCAGTGCCTTAGAAAAAGACTCACTCTGAGCAGTCTGAGAGACTCACAAAGAAAAAAGAGAGGCAGTGAGATTGAGAGAGTGAGGGCTGTGGCAAATGCAATGCATAGCTAATCAACAGTGCATTTCTGAAGACATTTCTGACTATCATGTGTGTGTGTGTCTGCTCCCTTTAGATTCTACTACGACTATTTAACTACTACTGCTACTGCATCTGAATGACTTGTTGGTTCCCCAAGTACATGCAAGCATGGCCGTCAAGTAATAAAGTAACTTTACAGTCGGATGTCGAATCAACAAAGATTTATAATAATTGTTAACTAAGCTAGCTAAAATCAATTAACTGCCCAAGGTAATCAAGAGTGATGATTTTTCTACTAAACTACTTTTGCAGAAATTAAACAAATAATTAACTAAACTAACACGAAGCAAGAGATTGTGATTGGATTTTAATCAGAGGAGATGAAGATTCCAGGATTGTAGTCAGTTTATCAATCCTATTGAGTTCGTGATTACACCTGTTAATCCGAATTATCTGTGGTTGCTAGTTGACCGAATCATTTATATAAATAGCATGTTCCCATAGTACTATTCATCTATCCACAATATATCAACCCTGTATTCTTTCGATGGACGAATTAATTACAACATTCAACTAAGTGAGACGGTTAGGTATATTCCTATTCTAACCGCGAAATCCTTCCCCGAGCCACGGGTTCAGAAACAAGCTCTCTCTAATTCTACTCTAATATTAGCATGGCTTTTCCAAGCATAGTGCATATAGTGGGATGAATCAGTAGCTACAACAGTTCACAAGTTAAAACTAGAATTAAAAGAAACAACCTTGTGACAACCACAACCCTAGAAAATAGAGTACTTAGCCACTCATAATTGTAGTAATAATTACACAAGTGTTTTGCATAAATAAGTTACTAAGAATAGATGAAGGAATGAGGAACTCGATGATTTTCTCCTCCAAAATTGCTCCACACGATATTCTAGCCTCCAGAAATCGTCCAACCCCCAAAAAGTAGGTTTAGAACCCCTTTTACACTTGTTGGGGACACGTAGGACCGAAAAGCCCCTCTCCAAGTCGAAATAGAAGGTTTCCTGGAAGTAGGGTAGGCGACAGGATGGACGCAGGGCACCCACCTGGACGGTGAATTATTTTAAGCCTGCCTTTGGCGTTTTGGTTGCAGGACACCCAACTTTTGCTTCTGCTGAATTTGGCGTTTTGGTTGGCGCCTTGCGCCCTTCTGGACGCCAAACTTTGCACTTCTTCCGAATTCCTTCCTTTTCGGCTTTAATTTGCGCAGATTCCTCCCAAATCACTTCCAATCGACCCCTACCAACATAAACACCAAAATTAAGCTCAAGTCATTCCATTACACATTAGAATTAACAATAGTTGGGCAAAAATGTAAGGCACTTAGTATGCAAAAACACGGATTTTTAGCCAAACATCACCTATGGTTGGCATTTTTGAAAATGAGATAAAATCAGGTAGCAGAATCCAATTTTAAAATAGCACAACTGTGTTTTTATTTAAGAATCTTATTTTTTCTTAGTTAAGAAAGAGGTTAATGCTTATCCTATATGTAGTACTGTACTCTTGATTTTCATGCTGATGTTAATGACTTTTTGAGGAGCTTGGAATTAAGTGGAAACTAGAGGAACAAAAGCAGGAGCTAGAGGATGTCTTTTTGGAGCATGTGGAATGAGTTTTGTGGTTTCTTACTTGTACGGTGCTCTTATCTTTATAATATTGAATCTAAGAAATATTTACTTGTCACTAGATATGCAGCAACTTGATATGTCATAAGTGGGATTATTAGGCGAGTTATTAGGGGTTCCGTAGTTAAATGGGAATGGAAAGAGCAATGTTTTGGTTTATATCTCTGTAAAATATTGGATGCTTTTTTCCACTCGATGATATGGTATCAAAGAAGCACTTCAAACTTTGTTTGGGTGGAGCAATTGAGTACAAAACAATTTGTGGCTGTATTCTTCATAGATATTTATTCATATGAACTTTTGTCCTATTACATCAATGATTATTACTTCTTTGCAGTTCCAAATGAAACAAATTGTGAAGATTTTGACGATAGTTTTTGGGGTATATGCCCTTTGGATAGGGTTGCTGCAGACATCAGTGGTTCCAGAGAGCTATACTTGGCTGGTGAGCTCTTATTGACAATGATTTCCTCTTCAGCATTTGCTTATTATGTTTTTCCACTTTGTAAATGTTCAAAAGTTGATGTTGTAGTTGCCTCTATACTTCATTGTGTCCCTTGGATGCTACGGTCTCTTAATGGTAGGTGTTGGTCTCATGAAATTTCCCACGTGCCCGCAAGAAGCTGTTTTCTTACAGCAGGTACAATTGCCTTGTTTTTTAAAACAGTTATTGTCAAGATTGTTTGTGTTGGGAGGTCCTCTGGGGATTTTGTAGTGAAATATGAGAAAAGAAAAATGATTGGGCATTTTGCTGAAGAAGTAGTAAGAGCGTTTCTTATTATGTTCATGTGTTGATCTGGTTCGTGAAATTAAGTTTGCTGTCATGGTTTTTACTTACTGAAAATCCACATCCCAGCCCGCAGGAACAAAAGTTGTTGTTTGTTTCCGAAAGACTTTTTAACTGATCTTGATATCTGTAGATTTCAATTTTGCTCCTACTGGTATTAACTATTAAGGCACGGTTATTAAGATCCAATCCAATATATTAATTAATTAAAGATAAACCAACTATCAATCATGTGTGGAACATTCATTAGTGGACACACTATGCTCTAAACCATCAATTTCTTAAAGCTTGCTCCATTCTCTATGGTTTTCCTTTTCTTTGATTGATTTCCTTCTCTCTTTTTTTACGCAGATACACTTCTTTATATAATATTTACCACTTTTCTTTAGGTTCCTTAAAAATTATATTATGTACTATTTACATACAAAAACTAAAAGAATGATCCCTTAAAATTAGGCTGTAACCACTATCCTTGCCCCCACCCCCTCATGTCGACCCCCCTCTCCCTCTCACTCAAGTCTATCAGTTATAGAAAGCCATTAAAATCACGTTTTCATTCCATTTTGAAGAATGAATTCAAAATATTTATTTCTCTTCATACAAATCAACCCAAATCCCTTTTTCTTCATACAAATTTATTGATATTATCTCTAAAATTGATGCAGTTTCTAAGTTTGAATTGGAAAATTGAGTTTTGTAAAAAATAGTATTTTGTTTGGATTGGCTGTTGTTGCAAATGATTGCGAATATCCTTTGGAGTTTATGTCTCAATTTTGCTGGAGTTCGGTGAAGATTAGAGTTGGTTTTGGTGGGAATTTCAAATTGAAACTCGAAGAAAAAGAAGAACAATGATGTATAAATAAGTTATACTGTATTTTGTATATCAAGTGTATCACACTGGACATACAAATAACATACAATAATATAATTGTATGCAAGTTGTATGTGGGCTTCTTTTCCCTGATTGTATACAAATTGTAAATAAACAGTTAGTTTTTAAAAATTATAAAACCTAGAAAAACGGGTAAATAAGTTTCTATTATAGTATGTATATAAAAAATGTCCTCTTTTTTAACTGGTGTCCAGTTGATATAACAACGGCAACCTCTGCATTTCCACAAAAGAAATTATTGGAGCAAGTCATTCGAACAGATTATTTGACAGGCATAAAGGGGGACCAAAATACTTGAAATTGTTAAAATTGAGAAATTTTGATAAACAATTTTAACCATTAGAGTATGTGACTGAATGTATGATATTTATTCATATATTAATCAGAGGTCTCCGTTAGAACCCTAGGAGTGGAGAAAACTCGATAACGAGTGCTTTCTCTTTTTGTAAATCCTATACAAGCCCAATCTGAATTTATTTAACCAATAAGTTTTGAATACTTGATTTATATAGCAAAAAGAAAAAGGAAAAACAATTTTAAGCAAGAAAATAGTTACTCCATCTCCAATTTGTGTGTCACGCGTTATCTAATATCAGTAATTTCTATAACTATGAAACATGGGTTAGGTGTAATTCCCCGATTATAGCAGGATTATTATTGGGTAAAAATTACATAATTATTTTTTTCCTTTTATTAGGGAGTTTATATTTCTGAGTTATCAAGGCAATGCGTTTGGTCGGTAATACGGAGTCAACGAGGCGCCAAAATTTACCCGCCAAAAAAAGCCTGGGCCCACATAATGGACCCGACCCGCCCTCCATTCGGTTTTGCAGTCACCGGCCACCGTCTGAGAAGTCAGCTTCAATTGTTTTACCAAAATATCCTTGTCGATGAGGATATAGTCTTGGGGAAACAAATAAATAAGGGAGTATAGGATTTTCTTTTCTGTAAATGGATAGAAATTAGACAAATATCCAAAAATGAAAAAGTAGAAAATTGGGCCAGGAAATAGTAAGGTTAATTTGAAATGTTTTTATTCAGATTCAGATTCTTCTATCAAATTATTTTTGTTTAATACTGTTTAGTGGTAAATCTATATATATCTATCTATATTATATTAAAAGCACGAAAGTCTTTAGCGAAATGTCGTTCGCCTTATTTACCCTTTAAACAGTTCACATTGGACAACATAGTAATTTGAGTATTTCATTAATACTTACGTATAGTAATTTAATTAATTCCCCTATAATTTACAAATGGTCATTTATTGTTAATAATATATTGCATAAACTTTCGCTACAACGTTTGTCTGTCTATCCGTTTATACTTTGGAGTAAATTTCTCCATTCTCCTTCTTAGGTTTTGGAGACGTTTTTTTGTAGTTATAAAATTTTGCCTAAATTAGGAAAGTTCGTCGTTCAACTCTATTTATATTTTGGGCTATTAAAATTTCTCTTTTCTCTTTTTAAGTTTAGGAGACCTTTTTGTAGTTAATAAAATGTTGATAATTCTTACTACACAAAATAGTTATTTAATAATTTTTTAATATTTAAGATTTTGAGATCAACTAAAATTTTAGTTACTAAATTTTTTTCTTATTTAAACTGTGTAGTAATTAGATCCTAATATTTAGGACTTCAAAACCGATTAAGATTTTACTATTCAAAATAAGGTGTACTAATCAAATTTTAGGCAAAAACAAAGATGCACAATTCCAAATCACTGTGGGTACGTTTATTTATTTTTTTAAATGTGCTCTCTCAATTTATGCCTATAGTTATGTGCATATTAATTCTTCTTCTTTTATATCCTTCTGCACAAAAATATCTACAAAGCCAAAAAGTATTTATGAGGAAAAAAATGAGGATTTGTTGTTCTAGAAATTTAACCTCCTAAAATAAAATCGTACATATCGGAGATGTATTTAAATATTTCTAAAAGATTTTATCCGTGTCAACACTATAGACTTTTTGATAGGCGAATTTAATTTGAATAGGAATAGATTGAATAATATTTATTATATATTCCTAATAAAATTGAAAATTATTTTTAAAATATTGTAATTATTCTCGGACAATTTGTTATTTATATTTATTTTATTTTTTGGTAATTATATATATTTTATTACCAAGTAAACATTATGTACAAAAAATAAAAATAAAATTGACTGAGAGCTGGACATTTCTCCATCTCAGGTAAGTAAAGCTCCTACAAACTTCAAAAACAACTAGGAAGCAACAAACAATCACAAAGAATTTTCAATCACAACTCAGAGTTCCTATGCAATAAGTAATTAATATTCATCTTATGTATAACCGTAATTGATAAAAAGTAACAAACTCCTTATATAGCATATTTTGAAATATTTTGTTCAATTGTAACATAAAAGTTAAGTAAGAAATTTATACATATTATTTTTGGTAAATTTATTGTGAAAAATAACTTTAATTGTATAATTAGAAATTTAAAAGTACATGTGCTTTATTAAACCGTTAGAGTTATTATATCGGATGCAAATAGTAGATGTGTAATTATTTTATCTAAGTTACCCGGGTGACATAATAAAAATTTCTTCTCAACGTTTTCAATTTTTTAAATTCAAATATTTAAATTCGCAAGAGAAATGAAAAACTAAAATACTCAGTTTTTTATTAAATAAATTATTTGTTTTTTTATAAAAGTATTTTAAAATTATAAACCATTAAAAAAATTTGGATCAAACCAAACAAACTGTTAATAAAACGAGAACGGACTATAGACATATATCGAAACTAAATATCAATTTAAAACTGATGATAAAGAACAAAATTGTAATTCTGATTTTTAACATATATTCCATATTTTGACTCCTTATAAAATAATATTTATATACATATCCTTTCGAATCCATCAACAGTAAGTAATTCTATTTCAGTCATACACTCTTGCTTACATAAGAAGGCAACTTCCGGATGCATGGGGACGTAGAATCTGAATGCACGCTTATAACTTGGGAAGAAGAAAAAAAAAGCTCACTCCAAAATGAAAAAAGAGTAAATTAATCTTAATGTACTTTTTAGATTCTACTTTTGCGATAGTGATTTATATTAATTAGGTTAAATATTTAGCTGAGTATCGATAGAGATGATTAGGAACCTCTACATAGTTTTTTCCTTTATCGAGTTAGCTAAATGTGATCAACAATCATTAATTTTAAGAACTTATATTTTTTTGTTTAACTTTTATTAATACTTAACTCAAACATAATTTTTAATATAATAATTATATGATCTTTTAAAATTTTGTAATCATAAAGATTGGGTACACGTGCAACGCATGTACCAAGAGTCTAGTATTATATTTAAAGCATGAATGCCCTTAGCGAAATGTTGTTTGCCTTTTTTACCCTTTTAAAATAGAAGTTACACTGAATAATATAGTCATTTAATTATTCCCCTAATAGTTAGCACTTTTAAGTCAACTAGAATTTTACTTATTAAAGTTTTCCTTATTTAAACTAGTACATAAGAAATCCTAATATTTAGGGCATTAAAATAAATCAATTGAACAAATTGTTTATAGATTTTTCTTTTTCTTATACGTGCATACAAACTAATTAGAAACGTACATATCCAATTTCATTAAGCATTTTATGGTTCCATTAAATGCGTACTTTAATCCCAAATTAAATGATAAAACTATCGTATATACATCAAAATCTATATAATTATTTTCTTGAAAAATATACTTATGTCATTAAAGTGTAGTTTATATTTTGACTACCCATAATCTTTAACCCATTCTGACCATCTAAAATTATGAATACTATGAAAAACTTAAAAATTAAATTTTAAAATAATGCAGACGAAATATATGAAAAAGTAATAAAAACATAAATATATAGCTCACTATTGTGTGGAAACAACATAAACATAATCATAATCATTGGAAACAATTACTGTTATTTAAAATATGTAGAATTTTAAATCAGTTAAAATTTTGATTATTGAATTTTTCATTTGAATTATGTAGAAAAATCTAATAATTAAAAATTTAAATCAATAAAGATTTTACCTTAGATAAATTCTTTCCTTATTTGAACTATGCAATATAACTATAACACATTGCATGTTAATCTTAATATTCAAAACTTCAAAATCAACTTAAATTTTATTTATTGAATTTTTGTATAATATTTAAAAAATTACGGTCAGTAATTATTTTAACATGCAAAATCATAAAGAAAAATGTATTCTAAATGAGTATAATTTACTCAATAATGGCAGAATATCATATACACAATAATTATTTTTCTATTAATATTTGCAGACTTGAAGCAATAAGAATGAAATGGTAAAAGATAAAAATATATTCTAAATGAGATATCATTAATTATTTCTTCTTTTTTTTTCTCATAAATATTCCAAAAATGACAGCTCCCTATATTATTATATATTATGTTATTGTTTTTATAAATTATTAATTAAATATTAGTCATCTTTAAAGTTTATAATGCCACTTATCAATTTGTATTATTTGAAAAATTATCGTAATAAAAGTATTTTTTACTCGTTTGTTTCTATATTAGGAAAACAACTAACAATAATTTTTATAAGTTATCCTTATTATTCTTTGAAGACTTCCATTTACATGATTTCTCTACTAAATGGGATCAACATTTCTAATTTTAGAAAGTTATCTAATTTATTTTTATTTTATAATTCAATTTATATTATTTAATAATATTTAATTTATGTAATTTTTTTAAAAAAATTATTCATTGACATGAAAAACACGCACAAAACGCGTATCCTAAGACTAGTTTAGGTAAAAAGTACATGTCAATTATTATTTAATACTGATGCATAACTTATGGAAAAACCAAGTACTGTGCATTTACTGTTTTAGCGCATCCATTGAATTATATTTTTTCGTGAATTTATATTTTAAAAAAAGAAATATTCAATTAAAGATGATGTTTTCTTAACTTTTAGAAATTGGAGAGAACAGATGCCTTAAGTATTTTGACGAAGATCAATGTAATTGTCCACTCTTGCCTTTTTTTAATTTGACCATTAGTTAAGAGGAAAACTCTGAAAAAAATGGGTCATACTTTTAGCACTTGTAAAGTGCATTTAAAAATTAAAATACCTTTAAACTTTATATTAGTACATATTCTCTTTCTCCTATATCAAATAGATTCTATAGATATCTATTGTCTTCTAAATTATCAACATCGCCTTTGTAAATGTTAATATCAAGATACTTTTTATTTTCTTTCTAGTCCATGTTTTTGGACTCACATACACAAAAAATTATGATGTACAAAATAAAAAATATCAAGCATATTAATTAATAGTTTAATTAGTGAGAGAATTTCGAGTAACAAATAAAAAATTTTAAAAAATTGAATTCCTTCATATCTTAATTTCAGTTAATCAAAACTCAATAAAATTATACCAAAATTACACAATAAAAGCGAAGGGACTATTTGAATACTTAATGTGTGTAATAATTGTTAAAAATAGTGGTAAATCTTACAGTACTAGAATAAGACGATTTTGAAAAGATTTTCGAGAAAGACTTCTTCAAATGTAATGTCCACAACAAAAGGCAGGCCAACGAGAACAGGTCATGCAGAATTGACAAGCTTACGAAGAAGGATTGCACATGTTATCTTACATGAATCCAACATCAAAATGTGAGAAAAAAGTGAAGAGTTTTATAAGTCACAATGTAAATTTACATGGTGCGTGCGCTGTTGAGCTCGATGTGACGTAGCTCGAAAAATAAATTAGTGCAGGTCTATACCTAAAGCGAACAATATAAGCCATGAACTTGAGTTGTGACATCAAATATTTGAACTAAATGTCACCTTAAGAGTTTCAAGTTAGTTGTAAATTACAAACTTACGACGTTGAATACGAAAAATTTATTAGCCTACGCTTAAAAGTAAAATTATTGTCACCAAAAATTTAAAATATATTCTTAAGACAAAATAAATAGGAAAATTATACATAAATGTATTATTTTTATATATAACGTAATCAAACAGTCGGACTTCGGACTTACAAAATTAGTCATATTTGGCTCTCTTAAGTATGATTATATTTTAAAACAAGCCAATTTATGTTAACTTTGCTACCATTAAAAGATATTTTATCACCCTAATCGGAAATCAAGATACTATGGCATGATTGTTTCTAGTATTAATTAAAAGATAAGGATTCAATAAGTACACAGCTTTTTAAGTTTTAGAATAATAAGGAAAATATCCTTTTCTTTAATAAATTACATAACAAGAGAACATAAAAAGTAAGATTCTACGATAGAAGTTTGTTTGATTTATTTTTACAAGAAATTGAACTTTTTCTCAAAAAGCTGTTTCTCGTTCATCTTTTTTGGTTCTAGTATTATTATTATTTTAAATTTTAAACATAAGGGATTAGGAATAAAGAAACTTCGGTTGAGTAAGGAGCATTTCTTTATATATGAATTTTACGCAATGCAAGTTCGATACTAAATGATTAATGAAATATCTAAAATTAGTTTGTCCTTTGTTTGTTTATTTAATTTAAGGGGCACTAATGTAAAAGCAAAGCACCCCATATTTTGATTAAAGAGAATCAGAAAGATCATGTTGGTGGGAAAACCAAAGAATATAAAAAAATAATAGTAAGAGTAATAATAATCTGTGAGAATAAGAAAAGTCCCGTGAGAAGAGTAGATGCACAATCTAGAAATGAGCGTAAATGAATGTGATTCCAACCATTTTTTTAAACTTTTCTAAATTGGTTTATGGGTCCCACACACCACCTCACCACCCACCCACCCACGCACATATCTGTCACTCCTGTTCCAAAAACGTTTCAGCTCTTTCTCTCTCTCTAATTCTTGCTTGATCTTTCCTCGTCAGAAAACTTATCTTCCTTGTTCATTTTGTGGTTACACCAAATAATTCTTCTTTATTCATATCTATTCACTTTTAATTTTTCTTCCCAAAAAGGAAAAAGAAACCGTCATCCATTTCTCATCCGTAATCTGCAGTTTCATTTTCACCCTATGTATGTAACATTACCAAGATCCGATTTTTCTTTTATTTTCTTTTTTGGGATTTCGATTGACTGATTGCATAGGAATTTGCAGGATCAAGATGAGGTCTTTTTATTGAAGAAGCTCAACCTAACAGCTTTCTCCAGGCTCTCTTTTTAATTGTTTTGGTAAGCTTTATTTTTATTTGTTATTGGATGTTTGGATTAATTTTCAGACTATTGAATCTTATCAGTTGGAAAATATTATCCAAAAGGGAAAAGTTTTAATCTTTTTCATTGGTCTTGTGATTAGTATATAGTTTTAGGAAGATCAAAAATCTTTGGTTTGTACTTTGTATGTCATAACAACAACAACAACCCAGTACTTTGACTTACTTTGTATGTCAAATTGATTGAAATTAGGAGTCAGAATAAGTTAGTATTATTTGATAAAGAAATTCAACCTTTGTTTGCTTGTTTTCAGATATGAGTATGATTCCAAAAGTTTCATAGAATGGATTTATCAGAATTTATGGTGTAGCAATCTTCCATTGGAGTCTTTGGGTTTATTATGGTAATGTTACCTATGGTTTCAGTGAATTGCAGATTCCATGGGAAAAAAATTGGCTTTGGTTTCTGTATTTCCGACAGCAAGACTGGTTCAGATTTTGTTTATTAATTTTATAAAAATGAAATGGATAGATATATTCATTTCCTGGCGGTCGGGGGTGAATGAAGATCTATTCATCTAAAATGAGATGAAGATGAGTCTTTATGGTTCCAAATCTTGTAAAGTTGTGAAGTGGAACTAATAAGTTTCAAGCGGTTGTCTTTTGAAAGAAAAATAAGGAAAAATTATGGCTAGTGTGGTGGATGCACTTATCACTCTGTTACAGTCATTGTGGTTAGGAGTAAAAACACATAGTTGGGAGGATGGCTTAAGATGACTATTTTACGATTCTCAGCTTAAATGGATAGTATGATGAGTAAATGTGGTTATTGAAGTTTTTGATAGGTGTTAATGACTTTTTTTATTGCATATATCCAGGTCTTCTTAATCATTGTTGTTAAAATGTGATCCAATGATTGTGAGTTTAAATGGCATATATCTTTTCCTTTTTCTGCAGTTGAACTTGCTCAAATCTCTTAGTAGATCTTGCTTTGAAAAATGTATAGAGGCAGCAACACTAACACTCCACTTCCTATTTTCGTGGATGAGAACGGTTTCCAGTATCCTGCTACTGCACCAAATCAACTTCAATTATTTGGAAGCTGTGAGTTTCTGTTATGTTAGTATACATTTAAAAAGGATAAGAAAATTTTAAACAGAAATAAGCTAAGGAAACCTCCAATACCCTTATATATTATCAGCAGTTCCAAGCTCTTAAAGTATTAAGTAACTTTATTTGTATTGAGCTAATTAGTACTAGTAAGTCTTACCTTGTCTGCTTTTCTACTTATGATGCTGAGATTCTGAAGTTTCTCATTGACAAATAATTGGAAAAAGGTTACTTTTACCTTTTTATGCCTTTTAGAAGTGTTTCTCCTGCTCCTCTTTGTGACCAAGTTGTTGTTCATCTTAAATGTTCTATTTATACTAAAAAGTATTGCATTGTCCTTGGTAACTCTAGATTTTAAAGGAAAGACCAAAGGCAGTGGCAGGCATATCTCAGCTGAATATCCGTTGGAAGAGGAAGTGAAAATAGAGTTGGGGTTTCGTTTGGAAGTGTCTGGCTTAAATATTTTAGCTTTAGCCTCACATTTTTTACTCAAAAGGTCCCTAATGTTTACCCATAACTTCAAGTACATCCTTAAAATATACTAACTAACAAAGAACATCCCTCATCTTCACAAAAAATGGACAGTTTTCGTCCCAACTAAAACGGAAGTTTACAAACTAACGACATCCTTGTTTTCCCTTCCTTTTTAATGAATTCTCGCTTAACCTCTCTCTCTCATAACACATACTGATAGCTTTCGTTTCCCCCAATTTTCTTGCTCTAAATTACCTCTTCTAATATAGATCAGAGCCGTGGCTGTGGAGGTTGCGAAGTTTCTAGACTGACAACTGCTCTAGTACTACAATTCCGCCTCCGACTATTAACTCGTAACTAACACAGTCCCAACAAGAAACATGAAATCCTTCAATGAAATTTGAGTAGAGACAGAGTGAGGGTGTTATTTCAAGACAATACCTTCGGGTCTTGGATACTTTCTTTAAACTGAGGAATCGGTTAGAGCTATAAAGTAGTACTAACATATTTTTGGAGGTTTCTCGTTTTAATGAAATTCAAGCTTTCACTGAATAATTTCAAGCATCTTAGTGAAATTGCTCCAACCAGGACACCTTTTGATATTCGTAATCCCACTTCAAGTGCTTTCCCTACAAGGTTCTTGTGAGTTAATTTTAAGAGTTTAAAAGACTATCAGTTCTGTTCCAATGAGTTCTCAGTTTACATGTAGCTTTTCTTTCTCCCTCTATCACTCACAAAAACATACAGCTTTGTTTTTCCCAAATTCCCGTTTTAGTTTTTCATGCAAAGAGGCTTCAGTGAGCAGTCTACCGGTAGTTTATAGACTTCCATTTGAGTTTGGATGAGACCTGTCACTTTTAGCAAATATGAAGGACGTGCATGTTTAACTGGCATATTTTAGTGATTCAGTTGAACGTATGGGTAAACCTGAAGGATTTTTTGGGTTAAAAACCCTTTAGCTTAACTTCGATAATATAGCTTTAAATAATGAAGTAGAGTTAAAAGTTGGCACTATATTATATTATTATTTGAGATTGCAACATTTATGTGCTAACAAAAAATATTTGAAGAGCATATCAAGTTAACTTTGAAGAGGAAAACTTTAGTATTATAGATTTCACATCTAAGTTTATGCTCAAGGATAACAATAGTCAGTGAGCTATTGCAGAAAAATTTTCAAGGCATCACCCGATATCTAGTTTGATATTTTCTTGTACTTATACTAAGCATGTTAATTTTGCTGCACCCCTAATGAACTCATATCAGATTGTTATACAAAAGCCTTTACAATGTGCCTTTTCTTTTGCTACAGTTCCACTTGGATCCAATGCTGATCCTGTAAATAATTTTGTAAATGAGCACCTGATTCGGCACAATAAACGAGGCAGGGAAGCTGAAGGTGTTTCCCGGCAGCAAAAGCTTCAAATTTCCTTGAACCACAATGTGGTTCATGATGACACTGAACGGCTAGCTAATATTCCTGGCCAGAATCTTGTTTCAACTGGTTTAAAGTTATCATATGATGATGATGAACCCAATTCTTCGGTCACTTCTGCAAGTGGAAGTATGAATGCATCAGCATCAGTTATGATGTCTCTAGGTGACAACATTAAAACGGAGCTGGAGCGCCAGAAGAAAGAATTTGATCAATATATTAAGACTCAGGTATGGTACTACATTTTTCTAACATTCGAATTTGTTTTATTGTAGACTGTCTTTTCAGTTATTGTCTGTGTCCTAACAGTTAGTAAATGGCTCTTTTAGGAAAGTGCCCAAGTTTTTACTCTTTCTCACTTTTGTTGCGACTTATTTTTTTCATGTTTCTCTGCTTCTTTGGCATAAGACTAACTCGATTTTTCTCAAAATGAGCCATGGCTATTGAACACGTGAATATTTATTTCTTCTGCTTATATTAATTGCCCTTTTCTTGTGTTAAAACTGATAAGATGCTCTTTTTGGCTCCATTGTCGCAGCTCTGTACCATCGTGCGCTTTCTGTTTGTATTAAAAAATAAATGAAAACATATGTGCAGATAATAAGATATTAGTTACAAAATATCTGGAAGGAGTAAGAAATTTAGAAAGTTGGTTATTTTTGGAATTGGTCAGTCACACACCTATGCATATTTTGGCCATCTTAAAGAAAAAGAATAACATGTGGCATCTTTTTAAAAAGCAATTATAAAATGGTCATAACTGTATTTGGTAACATTAACTTCAGTCTCTTAGGAACAACTACCAATGTACAAATTACTTAAACTTCATATGTTGCACAAGTTTATTTAATGTTGTTATTGCATTGGCCTTTTACAGGAAGAAACTTGGGCTAGAGGTGTGAGAGACATAAAACAGAGACATATGGCTTCGTTAGTGACTGCACTCGAGAAAAATGTCGGCACTAAGTTGCAAGAGAAGGATATTGAGTTAGAGAACATAAACCGGAAGAACAGAGAACTGGTTGAACGAATGAAGCAAGTTACAGCAGAAGCACAAAATTGGTGTTATAGAGCCAAGTGTAACGAATCTTTAGTCAGCACATTACGAACGAACCTTCAACAAGCGATGCAATCTGCTGAACAAGGAAAAGAAGGGACGGGAGACAATGAGCTAGACGATGCTGTGTCCTGCATTGATCCAAACAATTGGCTCAGCATCCCTAGTGGTTCTGGGAAAGGTACATCGGCGAAAAAAGCCAATTTGAAGTGCAAGGTGTGCAAATTGAAGGAGGTATCCATCTTATTGATGCCTTGTAGACACTTGTGTTTATGTAAAGACTGTGAAGGATTAGTTAATGTATGTCCTATCTGCCAGTTGATGACAACTGCTGGTGTTGAGGTGCTCTTGTCTTGAAATATGAACAAAATTTAAAACAAAGGCCGAAGAAATAATCTCATAAAGATTCTAGATAATCATTGTGGCTTTACTTTGTGTATTTACTGTACAGAAGTAATTTCTTCAAATTGGGGATTAATTATAATGGTTCTTCTTGATGCTTCATTTGGATATGGCCATTAATTTTCTACTTCAATGGTTCATTTGTGTTTCTTATCAAAAGCTTATTTGCATTAGACAGTGATCGATCACATTTTGCTCAGTGTTAATCATATTAATCCTCAGAAATGCCTTCTGAATAAACAGTGACAGAAGCAGGACTTAAATACAAATTGGGGTGGAGGCAAATGGGAAGGAAGAAAAATATAACCAATCAGTGAAAGCACATGTTAACCAGCAAGGGTTGTGGCGGAACAATAAGTACTTTGTCATCCTTAACTAGAGGTCTCGGCTTCGATCCCTGGATATGGAGTCTTCTTTATTAGGGAGCGTTTTACCTCTCAATGTTGGAAATTTGAATTTAGTCGGGCGACACCAAAAAAAGAGAGAAAGACATAGTTAAAACAATGTGTTAGTTACTAGAGTAGCTTGAACCATAAGTTGGTACGTATGAATTCCTTGACATTTGCTAACACACTTTTTTAGTTACTTTTACTCATGAAATGTATAGATTGATATATAGGATAGGTGTGATTACAATTATTAATCTTTTATTTGGTGATATAATAATATGTATTTAAGGTATTAAGCCTGCATCAGCGATAACACAAAGAGGTGTCTTCCTAATGCTTCCTTGATTAGTTTTATGCTTAATATGCAGGCACCATGAAGAGAAAGCTATAAAAAAAATAATTCCTTGTAGACTATTCAATCTTGTGAGTTGTGAGTCTGACCTAACGAAATCGAAATGAAGAAAGAGATGAACAGAGACAAGTAACCAACTAATGAATGAATATAAACTATTTTTCTTTTTGGCCTGTCAGTATGGCAAGTTTTGACTTGAACTTGGCCTAACCCCAACTATTCCGATAGGAAGTAAACCTGAGTGCTAATTCAAGTTCCTTTTAACTTACCAACAAGGTTGTGGTAGAGTGATAAGTACTCTTTCAACGTTAACCAGAAGTTTCGAGTTTAAGCTCTGGGTATGAAATTGTCTTTGTTAGGGAACGCTTTACCTCAATGTGGGATTTTCCGGCGCGAATTCGAATTTAGTCGGGTCCCAATACAGATACCGAACACCGGAAGAAAAACAAAAAAAAAAATCCTTTAACTTAGGCATGGACCTTACCAATTGAGTTGTACCCTACTTTAAAGAATTTTAATACTAGTTTAACAAATAGTTTGCATTTTTAATTGTATATATATATATATATATATATATATATAAGATAAAAATGCTTTGCTTGAGTGGGAGAAGTTATATCAACGTTGCTTTAAAAATATTTGTTGCCTTGAAAGATGTTTATGTTTCCAAAAATCATTTCACGGTTGGCATGTTGTCAAGTTGTTGCTGTGAAATGTATGCATGACATTAAAATTGGAGTCAACGAGATCCACTATAATTTTTTGGCCTACTGTTTTCCTATAATCTTGTCGACTTTACAACTATCAAAATATAAAGAGTATTTTAAGCACCGGTATGTTAAACTATTTGCATAATTCGATCACTTATCAAGTAATTATAAATAAATTTTTATGATGAGCATCTATATACATATATAAAAGAGGGCAAAAATAGGATGACTTGACACCTCTCTTTGGCCAAGGAATTCATTTATCTTTTTTTCTCCTTTTTTTTTTGTTTTCCCACCCTCATTTTTCTATTTATCTTATTTTTAATAGCTAAAAATTTGTCCTTAAGTACAATTACTCAACTTTTTTCCTCCCCCATAATTGTGTCTTTATTGGATACTTAATGTCAATTTATGTTCTCTTTCAAGCTTTACCCCTCCCTCTATCTTCCGATCCGTTGCTATATCCCTTTAATTTGGTGATTATATATGTCACTAACTCCAAATACTGTTTAATGTATAATGTTTTTGCATCCTTTTGTATTCCCCATATATGCCTATATAAGCTCACTAAGTACATCACAAACCCTAAATCATGATTTGTTGATAAAACTACTTTCTATTCAAGAATTAATGAAGTTGCTTTTAGCTTAAAGAATACTGAAATGGTACGGCCGTCACACATGCACTAGCAATTTGGTTGAATTGTAAAATCAAAGAAATTGGTTTGCGACATCAGTTGTGCATTTCAATATCGAGGCTTTGTTTGGCGCTTTGTCCAAGGAAAGTATGCGGCACTAGAGAAGATGTTGATGAATGTATTTATACATTCTAAGTTCTCAATTTAGGTAAATCGTATGGATACTATTTTTTTTTTTTGAAGTCTTTCTGCAATTTTATAAATCATGCCTGAAGTTTCACTAAAATATTTTTATTTTATATAGATTTTAGTGTTACAATGAACGGTGATGGTGCAATGCAAGAATGGACTCAATTGCAGTGGGGGGATTTTGTATGCACTGGTACGACAACAGTGTCACATGAAGGCAGAGATAACCAAATTAACATGAGCCTCATATTTCGTCTGCAGAATATTTACCGAAGTTTCAACGCTCATCTTCAATTTTCTTCGACATAGAACCGTTCGTTTTTCCTGGATGAGGAAGTATCCGTGTCCCAGGCTTCGAGTATGCCATACAACACTGAGACAGAAATTACAATGCACTGATAATTGAAATAAATGTTTATTGATTGTGGGTTCGTTTCTTTTACGTATCTTACTTCTAAAGTTAATACATACACACAATTTGTTTCCCGCTAGATACTTCTATATTTAATGTATATATTGCTGTAGTTCTAATACAACTATTGTTGTTTCTCTTCATGTTGTGAATGTGAAATTAAAGTGTTGGACCACCAGAGAAGATATTTATAGTTGTGATTTAGTTGACTTCTGCAATTAATTGTTTATACATACATGAAAATTTTATTGTGTTATCTCAATTATATTTATAAAAACTATTAAACATTTCATAAATGCATTGATTTATTTAATGATCGCATGAAACGCTGATAAATTCACTAGTTAATTGATAAATTGAGATAAAAATGATAGTTAATATGTTGTAATATGTTAAATTTTAATAAGCTGTTTGGTACAAGGGATAATGATAATAATCTCGGAATAAAATTTGAGATTATATTTATCGCATGTTTGGTTATAGGTATTAGCTAATTTCTGGATAAATTTTACACTAAAATGGTAGAATTAACTATCTCATATAGTAGTATATACAGTAAAAATCGGTCTCAAGAGTTAGGTGAATTAAGAAGTGGCACGTGTCAAGGATGACCGGTCAGCAGTGACTCAACCATGGTGACATCGGATACAAAAATATGGCCGGATAAGAGACAATTCCTTTTATGACTGTTATAGAAACGTTATAGAGACCCCAAGATTCCTCCGGCCTTTATTAGACTTTATTAATCTTTATCACTTTTTAGTTACCTTTTATTATATCATTAATATTGGTAATTAAGGGTGCATAATTTATAATCGTGCACCCCATAGCCAGTGGCGAAGCTAGAAAATTTTTCAAGGGTGTTCAAACTTGAACAAGAAAAAAATTCTCAACAATCGGTGCATCGAAAAATTTAAATCAAACAACGTGATATCAATAAAATTACCCTTGTTCAATGACGTTTTATTTCGTCATGACCGCGAAATGCAAATCCTTGATTTAAGAGAATCCTTTCTACATCAACTGAAGTGTTTAACCGAAGCCAATACTCACGCTTAATTTGATCAGACTGTTTGTCAAATGCAACAATAATATTCCAAATTTTTATTTTATAAAAATTATTTGTTCCAGATTTTTATTTTATAAAGTAAGTCAAACAGATCTAACGACGTCGTTTATTTTGTTTGTCTTTTTAAAAAATAAAAATCTGGAACGCAACAAAAATTATGGAGAGTGAAGATCAAACCCGCGCCCATGAGGCCCTCTTGACCACCCTTTGCCACTGAGCTATGACTCTTCATTGTTGCAAGGGTGTTCAATATGTATTACATGTATGCAAATCCAAAAATTTTACCTATATACACAGTGTAATTTTTCCGATATTTTTCGACGAAGGGTGGTCAGTTGACCACCCTTGCTACACTGTAGCTTCGCCCATGCCTATGGCTCTAGTATAAATAGAGGTTTTCATTCTATTGTAAGATATCAAGAAATATTAATAGCAAAAGACTAATATTCCCTCTCTCATTCTTTTAAGCTTTATACAAGTGCGTTCGAGGTTTTTCAATTATTATTGATCCCGCTGGAAAAATTCTAAAGCTTAGGCTTGTCTCTTTTTCAATTATCCTTATTTACTCCGTTTGCACTTTGTTATTTTACTTTATTGAATAAATTAATCCACGTGTCTATAAACCACATTACAAATTCAACTGTACTGTTTTTTCGGTAAACAGTTTGGTGCCCATCGTGGGACTTAGACAGTTGTGGTATTATTTTTATCTGTTCATCTTTTACTAACGTACTTTGAACCTTTTCTGCTGTAAGCATAAAATAACTATGGCACCCAGTGACATCAACTATTTGCTCAATGTCAGAACAAACAATAACGACGAGCCCGTAGACAATTTCCATGATGGAAATCAACAAGATGGTTCAACCAGTGAAACCCGTCTCAATGGAAATGCGTCAACGCCTAACTGGGTAGAAAGAAATACTCGGGGGGCGAGGAGTCCTACCCTTGATGATATGAATGATAAGCCCGTTGCCGATACTATTAAAGTTTTGAGAGTGCAGCAAAGGGAGATCATGAATCATCTCTCAAGACAAGATCGTGTAATGACGGAGTTGGAGCAAACATTTTCGGTTGCTTCCAATAATTCTAATGGAGGAGTTCGAGCCCCTCCCAGCATGCCTACAAATCAAACAACGTAAAGAACCGGTAACGTCATTTCGAGGGAGAAGTTCAGTTTTAATAAAAATGAAGCAGGTGGTGTAGGTAGTGATCCGAAAATGACAACAACGCTAATGATCCTTTCAAAATCGAGCTCATGAGACTCATGAGGGAAATGAATGAACGAATGGACCAAAATGCTAAATAGTTCCATGCTCGGATGGATCAGATCCCGAGAGCACCGCCGGTGTTGAAGGGACCAGATTCAAAGAAGTATACACAATTGTCATTCAAACCAAGTGCGGTTCCAGAGTTGATTCCAATAAAGATTCAAGATGCCCGATATTCCGAAGTATGATGGAACTTCGGATCCACGAGATCATATCACAATTTATACTACGGTTATGAAGGGAAATAATTTGGCCCCGCATGAGATTGAATTTGTTATGTTTAAAAAATTCGGCGAAACCCTAACAAAGGGTGCTTTAACATGGTACTTTTTTTCCTGAGCATTCGATTGACTCTTTTGAAATGCTTGCAGATTCTTTTTTTAAAGCTCATGTTGGGGCTGTTAGATTTGAATTTTAATGATAGACAATAACTTAATTCTACTTGCAGGAAACCAATCCCAAAGGATATCATGAGAATGGGAAAGACTCTAACAGAAGATCTGAAAGCACAAATCAAGGAGGCAAGAATCAAGCTGTAACCACACGTTCTATGGAAATTGGATATTCGAATCAACCATTTACGGAAGGCATAAATCAATCAACATAAGATGATCAATAAATCAATATAGAAGATCAATCATGTGGATATTCGAATCAACAATTTATGGAAGGCGTCAATCAATCAGTATAGAAGATCCTTTGAGAATATTCTCCCAACGGCTCGCAAGGAAAAGGAAATCAAGGAAGCAATAAAAGGAAAAGCCCATTCTATTTCTAGAATGAAATCATCTTGATTGATTCTACAAATCAACTCCATTGGGTTGCTGCTCAGTTATTACACTATCACGCCATGAATAATGGAGACCAACTCACCATATATATTCTACAGAAGATGCCAAGGATTCAAATACTTTGATCCAACCAAATTCAATCTCATTGTTCTATTTCAAACAAGCATTGTAGTCTGTCATAGATTTCTTGTGTAACTAAGAAGAGAAGAGAAAGAGAAAAGAACAGTGGTGAGACATTGTATCAATTATAAGAGAGAAGAACAAAGTGACCAAAAGGCTGTTGGTGTATAACAACATCAACACATCTATACTAAGCCACTTTATATTTGAAAGAGATCACCCTTGCAACCCAAGGGGACTGGACGTCAGATTCACTCTGAATCCGAACTAGTATAAAATATTCTGTATAATTTATTTTCTGCAATTTACTTTCTTATATTTAGTTTTAAAAATCCCAGTCGACTAGAACACAAGTTAGTCGATTACCTCACAAAAGAAAAGAAAAATTTCAATTCACCCCCTCTTGCACTTTCAATTGGTATCAGAGCTAGTCTCACACTTTTTGCTTAACAACTTGTGAGAAAAGATCATGGCAAATCAAGTAATTGTTGGAGCACTCTTTCAAGAAGGAACGTCACAAGTCAGGCCACCGTATTTCAATAGACAACACTTTTCTCACTGAAAAGTGTGAATGAAAATATATGCAAAATTCTATGATGTCAAAGTATAACGCATTATCAAAAAGGGTAACTATCCACTACCAACAACAACTCAACCACCCGCTGATCCTGAAGATATAGATGAATACACAGACGAGCAAATAATAGTTGTTCAGGTCAATGCAAAAGCACGAAATTAACTTTATAATGCTATAAGTGGAGAGGAGTATGAAAAAATCTCAAGTTGTGATACAACCAAAGAAATGTGGGACTAACTGGAAGTCACTTATGAAGGAACCAGCAAAGTGAAAGAAACTCGGATAAAAATATTGGTTCATGATTATGAACTCTTCCAGATGAAAGAAGGAGAATCCGTTGAGGAAATGTTTGCAAGGTTCATCAAAATCATTGGAGATCTAAAAGCTTTTGGTAAATCCTACTCAAGTGGTGATCAAGTTCGAAAAATTCTAAGGAGTCTATCTACCATTTGGCAGACAAAAGTAGTCGCACTCGAATCTCAAGATCTAAACAAACTTTCATATGATGAACTACGAGAAGATCTTATAGCATTCAAAAAGACCTATCTCAAGAAAACAAATCAGGAAGAAAAGAAGAAAATAATTGCCTTCAAAGCTACAATTGAAGGACCTGAAAATGATATTGATGAACCCCCAGAAGCTCTTGAAGAAAAAATTGCCATGGTATCAAGAAACATGGATGGATTAATGAGAAGGTATAGAAACACAGGAAGGAGAAGTTTTCCACCCAGACAAACTAAGCAATACAATGAACAAGACAAGAATGATAGAAAGAGTTATGAGTGTGGAAGTTATGGGCATGTTCAAGATGAATGCCCAGATCTTAAAAGAAAAGTCTCCAGAGGATTCAATAAAATAAATTCTTCAGAAGCTAGAGTGATGAAGATAGTTCAGAACACGATGAAATAACAAACATGTGCTTCATGATCATTTCGGAAAACGACACAAACAAATACTCTGGGTGCTGGACTGATGAAGATGCATCAGACGATGAATGCAAAGAAGATACTGAAAATTATTTCATGGCACGAGGTGAAACAAGCGAGGTAAGATCATATAACTGTGATAGATGTAATGAATTGCAGGATATTCTTGACCTTACTCTAAAGGAGTGTAAAAAATGTTGAATAAACTAAGGAGACTCAATAGGGAAAAGAAGGACTGTGAACTTAAACTTGAAGTCTGTGAAATTGAAAGAGATGTACTTCAAGATGAAGTTCAGGATTTACAAATGCAACTTAATGCCATGCGCAAGTCCACTAGTCACAGTCTGTCAAATCTAACCAGGCGACTTACAAGTCAACTGAAAAAGGACTGGTTAGAACTGAGTCCACAAGTACTAGCACAAGTGGGAGATCGAAAACGTGATCAACCCCTGTATGTCATTACTGTAACAAAATTGGTCATAAATACTCATTTTGTAGATTTTGTAAATCAAATGTCTCAGGATGGATTTGGAAACCCAAAAACAACCCCGATTCTAATAAAACTAACCAACAAGGACCCAAGCAAGCTTGGGTACCTAAAAGAAGATGATAATTCTATTTTGTAGAAACACCACAGGAAGAGTCACAAAGAAAAATGGTATCTAGACAGTGCGTGTTCCAGTCACATGACGAGCTAATGTGCTTACGTGGGCTGTGGTGGAACGGGTAGGTGCACGAAGTGTTAAACAGAGATCTTGGTCAACTTCGGAATGGTTCTTGGCACGTTCGAGGACGAACATGTGTTTAAGTGGGGGAGAATGTAATAACCTAACCGGTCATTTTGAGATCTAGTGCATCGTTCGGAATTTTGATGACTTGAGTAGTTTTACTTCATGTATTATGACTTGAACATGTGGTCGAAATTGAATTCCGGGAAGTTCGGAGTTGATTCGGAAGGAAATTCTCAATTCGGAAACCTAAAGCCTTATTTGGAAAAGGTGATAATGCCAAGTAATTTCCTAAGGGTTCTAAACATATCCTCTAAAAGAGGCTTAGTAAAAATATCAGCTAATTGATTTTTCGTGTTAATAAAAGATAATTCTCACCCTTAAGAACATGGTCTCTAATGAAATGATGCTTTATATCTATATGCTTTGCTCTAGAATGATGCACATGATTTTTTGAAAGACATATAGCACTAGAAATATCACTGAAAATTTTAACAGGCTTAAACAAAAGATCATAATCAGTTAATTGATGAATCATCCAAAGTAGTTGAGCACAGCATTGCCCAATGGCAATGTATTCAGCTTCAGTTGTAGACAGTGCAATTGATCCTTAGTTCTTACTGTTCCAGGAAATAAGTGATTTGCCAAGGCAATTGACACGCTCCACTTGTACTTTCCCTGTCATCTTTATCAGCGGCAAGGTCTTCATATGAAAAACCTTCAAGCTTAAAATTGTTAAGACGTGGATACCATAATCCATGTGAAGTCGTTCCAATAAGGTATCTAATAATTCGCTTTACGGGAGTTAAATGTGACTCATTTGGAGCTGCTTGGAACATGGCACATCTGCTTACACTAAACATTATGTCATGACGAATCGCAGTTAAATAGAGTAGAGATCCGATCATTCCATGATATTTTGATTTATCAACTGATTTTCCTTCTTCATATTTGTCAAGAGATGTAGCTGGACTCATGGGAGTCTCAATCGCCTTGGCATTGTCCATTCCGAATTTTTGTATTAGCTTTTTTGTGTACTTTGTCTGACAAATAAAGATCCCTTCATCTGATTGATGAATTTGGAGTCCAAGGAAGAAAGTTAATTCTCCCATAATGCTCATTTCAAACTCATTTTGCATGAGATGTGAGAATTCCTTGCATAAAATAGGCTTAGCACTTCCAAATATAATATCATCCATATAAATTTGAATAATGAAATTTCCAGAAGATGATCTCTTGATAAAAAGAATAGTGTCAATCTTACCTCTCAAAAATTCATGACTAACCAAAAATGAAGTCTTTCATACCAAGCTCTAGGTGCTTGCTTTAGCCCATATAGAGCCTTAGTCAACTTAAACACATGATAAGGAAACTGTTAGTTTTCAAAATCGGGAGGTTGTTTAACATAAACCTCCTCATCAATGAAGCCATCTAAAACACACTTTTAACATCCATTTGAAAAAGTTTAAAACCTTTAAAAGAAGCATATGCTAATAAAATACGAGATTCTAACTGTGCTACCGGAGAGAAGGTTTCATCATAGTTGACTCCTTCTTGTTGAGAGTAACCCTGAGTGACTAGCCTTGCTTTATTCCGGATAACTTTACCTTCTTCATTCAGTTTATTTCTGAATACCCATTTGGTTTTTATGATTGCTGCATTAGCTGGTTTGGGTACCAATGTCTAAACCTGATTTGTATCAAATTGATCAAGTTCTTCTTACATTGCATGTACCCAACTTGAGTCTTTCAGGGCTTCTTCAACTTTCTTTGGCTCTATTTGAGATATGAGTGCGATGTTGGCCTTTTTCTTTAAAGCTCCTCTTGTTTTCATTCCATCAGATGGATTTCTAATTATGAACTTCTGAGGACATTCTGGTTCGCTTCTCTACTCATTTGGTACTGCTTCAGTACGTTGATTAGTCGACTCATTCTGAGATTGATCGTGCTCATTGATTCCTTCATTAGTCGGCTGTGGGATTTCAGTCATTTTGTCAGCAGTTTCTTTTGAAGTTTTCTCTTCACTGATCTTTAGCTGATTTTGGTTGATCTCTTCATCACCTGCAAAATCTCCTTTCTCGGCCATAGAGTTATTATCATAAAAAATAGCATGAACTGATTCCTCTACACATAGGGTACACTTATTATAGATTCTAAAATATCTAATATTATTCGAGTAGCTGAGAAATATACCTTCATCACTCCTTGGATCAAATTTATCAAGATTGTTCTTGCCATTGTTGTGGACAAAACATTTGCTTCCAAAAGGATGAAATTATCCAATATTGGATTTCTTACCTTTCCATAATTCGTATGGAGTTTTCTTCAAAATAGGTCAAATCAAACACCTGTTGAGAATGTGACAGGTTGTGCTAACTGCTTCTGCTTAGAAATGATTTGGGAGAGAATGTTCTAGTATTATGGTTCTTTTCATATCCTGTAGAGTTCTATTCTTACGTTCAACCACTCCATTTTGCTGTGGTGACCTAGGTGCTGAGAAATTATGAGTATATCCTTGATCGTTGCAGAATTATTTAAAAACTCTACTTTCAAATTCTCCTTCATGATCACTTTGAATAGTTGCTATAAGATGCCCCTTTTCTCGTTCAATTCTTTTATAGAAAATCTCAAAAAATTTCAATGCTTCATCTTTATGAGATAAGAAAATCACCCATGCAAAGCGTGAGTAGTCATCAACAATAACAAAAGCATATTGTTTACCTCCAATGCTGGCAGTTCTAGTAGGTCCAAACAGATCCATGTGAAGCAATTGTAGAGGCTTGGTAGTAGATATAATGTCCTTGGTTTTGAAAGAGTTTCTAGTTTGTTTACCAATTTGACATGCATCACATACATGATTTCTAGAAAAATTAAGCTTAGGAAGACCAATAACTAAATCATACTTGGAGAGCTTTTCAATAAGATGCATACTTGCATGACCAAGTTTTTTAAGCCAGAGCCATGGATCATCGGATATGGATGCTAAACAGATATGACTATTTAGATTTTCAATGCCATCAAGAATGTAGACGTTTCCGCACCTTTTACCTGGAAGAATAATCTTACCTGCCTCATCTTCAATAGCACATCCTGTTTTCTTGATTTACTTTAAAGATTGTGTATCAAAATAGTTTTTGGTAAAAATCTTTTGTTATTGTGTTACTTTATTATTACTGCCTGTTGCATTAATAATGAGCCTCCGTTTTTTAGCCTTTCTTTCTGCCTTTTTGGCTTACCGAGATGGAAACTGAATCAATCATTCACGTCTCTTTCCTTTCTCTATCCCTCCAGTCTTGTCGATTCAGTCATGTCGCTTCACTCCCCTCTTTATCTCTATAAGCCCGCCTCTTCCTTGAAGTTCTCTGCATACTTCCTTCAATCATCCTCTCCAATGTCTAAACCCTCAAGAAATCCTTTTGGTTCCACTCGCAAAAGTACTCGGTCCAAAGCAAAACCCCCCTCTCAACCATCAGAACCAGTCACTATTGGCTCTGATCACTCTGAGGGTTTTTCGTCTTCTCAAGAAATCATCTCTGATAATGCTCGAGCAGAAAAGGCACTAGGGAAGCGACCCATGGAAGAAGGAACAACAACGTACACTCCGAAGAAAGTGAAGATCGACCTGGACAGTGCACTGGAGTCCGAATTAAACTATTGGGATTCTCCCAATAGAGATAAGTTCGTATCCTTCAAAGGTAAGACAATCGCTTATGGAAGGATCATCAATTTGGAAGAGATGGAAGCCCTAAATTGCAAGGTAAAATACTTTTTCACTTTTCAAGGTTGGAAAAATTTCTTTGCCTTAACCCCTCCAAAGTAGAGGTGGGCATCGGTCGGTTCGATTCGGTTATAAATATTATCGGTTTAGCATATCGGTTATCGGTTTACAAATTTGATAAACCGATAACTGAACTAATAAGATATTGGTTATCGGGTATTGATTAATCGGGTATCGATCATTATCGGTTCAGTTATCGGTTTATCCGATAAGATAACTCAATCTAGAGTTAAGCAAAAAAGAGAAGACAATTCACTAGAGTTAAGCAAAAAAAAGAAGAATTCACATATAGTATACTACCCATTTCTGTATTTTGTCCAGTGGCCACAACTGGAATAATACTAATTCTTCAACAACAGTTGTCCAAATACATTAATAATAATACAAAGTGGTAGCAATTTCATCTTAAAATTAACAAGTTCAAACATATAGTACTAACAGTTCAAATTCAAGTTAACGAGACAACAACTACTCAATCCTTATAGCTTCACCAAATATTCAGTGGATAAATACTTATCAAACTGCAGCAATTCCCACAAAATGTTCCAAGGCATTAGCTGCCTCCTCCGATATGATAAGAACAATAGTTGATTTAGAATTTTTGTTTCACATAATACCTGCACTTCCACAAGCGTTGAAGCCTCAAACAGTCCAAGATAAACTGGATATCGTTTGTCAAATGCCTAACCTAAAAAAAGAAACTATAGAGCAATCCCTATATGAAGATGAATTTTGTTATAGAAATTAAAAGCCTAATGTATAAGACTAAAGACTTATGCTAGGAGTAACTAGTAAGGTCTATGAATAATGAAGATGAAGCAACTGAAAAGTGCGGCTAAGAAAGAATAGGAGAGAATGAATTGAAGCCCTAGCATATGTATATACTTAAGGGTAAAGTCATAATTTTATTAATTATTATTGGGTTATCGGTTAACCCATTAACAAAATTAGCAAAACGAGGCCCGAATCGATAACCCAATAGTGAAAGAATTCTAAACCGTTACCGAACCGTTAACCTAATAACCCGATACTGTTAACCCAATAAATAATTAATGGTTCGGGTTATCGGTTTTACTCGATATATGCCCAGCCCTACTCCAAAGGTCTATGAAGACTTAGTTTGCATGTTCTATGCAAATCTTTGCTCCCAAAAATCTAATAAAATTGAGTCTCTCATATTAGGTCAGCACATTATTCTAGACTGTTCTACTTTGGATACCCTTTTAAGTGTAAAAGTTCTGGTTACTTTGCTTTGTTTAAGAACTCTTAGCCTGATAATTTTGAAGTGTCTTTGAACAAGCCAAAGAATGTCTTGATGATTCCCTGTCTGATCTCCTGCCAAATCAATTAGGGCCCAATGACATCAATTTTGAAACCCGTATTCTCGCCCACATTGTTGCCACCACTATTCTTCCCAGAACTGGTTCCTACACCACTATGTCTCAAAGGGACACCTTTTGGGTCTATTGTCTTCTTACCATGCACAAGGTGAAATTATCCTTCTGGGTAATAAATTTCATGATTGAATGTGCTGAAGATCCCTCAAGTTTACCCTACGGGATGGTCATTACTCACGTCCTCGAGGCCTTCAATATCCCTCTTTTTAACTATCCCTATGTATCTGTTTCTAAGTGTTATAACAACAGGACATTTGTTAGTATGGGATATGTCGCAGTGGATGGCACTTGGGTAAAGAAGCATGAAGTTGAAGCAAAAGTGATCCCCTCCAGTTCCAAGGTAAAGGTTGATACCCCTCAGACTGACATCAATAATCCAGAGCTACTTGAAAAGATAACTGCACTCAATGACAAGCTGACTGTCGTTAAAGAACTACTGCTGGCCATTCTCAGTTGGAGATATCTATGCAATTGCAACAGGTTCTGACGTGTCCAAGTTAAGAGTTATGGTGTTGAAAATAGCAGAAAAGACAATGAAAGCTTTCAAGGTGGTGCATGATCGAGTAGATGGAGTCTCAATCACTTTGAACGCTAGCTTTGATCGCCTCAAAGAAGCTATCTGCAACACCCTTACCTAGTTCCTCCGTCGTTAAATCTGTGATGGCTGTTTAGACAATTTCTTTTAGTCTCTGTGGATAATTTTCTTTTGCATTTTTTTGGATACTATGTGGATGATTGTAATTAAGTATACTGTCTACTAATCTTATCTGCTGGTAGTTAATCTTGCATAGCCCTCTTTTTGATTGATGCCAAATGGCGAGAAGTAGAATACTAACTTGCAGGATACGACTCAGTCGACTGAGTAAAGACAACTACTGGCATCTGAATGAGGGGAAGCCCAAATAAAGGGGAGTCAACTCCAAGTACTCAATTTACCTCACACCAAGTTGAGGGGGAGATGACTAGAACAGGAAAGTAAAATGAATTAAGTTTTCTTTGTCATCATCAAAAATGGGGAGATTGTT